GTCTTGGAAAACTTTTAGGAGAGCTGTTGGCACCGGTTGAGGGGAAATAGATGAGGTGAACGTGAATTATAGATATTTCTCAATGCAGGTATGGGGTGATGTATAGTTTGATGGATCGTGGGTTGATATGGAAGAACTAAGCTGATAAAAATACCCCAGTGAGATGACCACACGTCCGATCATTGTAAGTTCCCACGGTTTGTTGCAAAGTGGATAATATGAACAGTTTTTTCGTACAACTGACAAACGCATCTCTGAAAAACAGAGCGAGGAACTTGACAACCAACTATTTATGGATCTATATACATGTATATTTATATACGTGTATGCATTCAGATAATAAATAAACGAGAAGCAAATTATCTGATCGATCAAATACCTTGTTTTTTCACCTTGCCATGGCAACCAGAAATCATCACCAATAATCCGGTAGGCTGGTTCGTAATGCGGTCGTGGGCTGCCGATGAATTTTCAACAACCTTATGAGCAGTGCATTACGAATATACATGTTTCGCAATATCTCGAATATCCTACCGACTGAAACATGAGGCGGCCTGGTGCAGCACATTCAGTTGCCTGAGAACATCACAAACGAAAGATTCACAACTGGGTTCCACGTGAGTCTCCCGCAAAACCAAATTAGTTTGCAAATGAGTGTATTTCGCTAATTTCATACAATTTGATTTTAAATAGATATTAGGTTGACGCAAACTCGGGGGACTATGCCTACCTGATGAGCCCCAAGAAGGGCGAAACCGGTCGTGGGCTGTCGACGAATTCTTAGCAACCTCGAGTTTTCTGGAGGGTACTTTCTGGAATTATGCCTCGAAAAATACGGAGTCTTCCGACTAAAATGTTATCATTTCAGAAGCCAGTAAATTCGCGATCACATGATGTGGTTTCCGTGACTGAAGAATGAGTGGTGTCCTGTCTAAGTGAGACCTCGTCACCCTGCTGTTTAACCGCTCAAGCGTGAAATTCAACCACTGTCCTGAAGGTTGCTGGTCCAAAACTTTGAATTTTGTGAGATGTGCACTGCCGATGATCCTCAACAGAAATGAAACTGATGGATAGTGCTTCTCAAATTTTTTTGGCATTGGTGGACTTCTTTTAAAGAATGAAATCCATCACTGAACAAACGTGGCTGGAATTCATTGATCGAGCTGACCAGGTTCGGTGATTTAGTTCAAGAGCCACATTTCTGTGAACTTTAAGTGGAGTAAAACGATTTCGATCGGTGTTCAATGTGACTGGTCTCTCAGGCAAGAGGAATTTACAGTTGTCATGCGCAAAGGTTTAATGAGTGGAAATAAGTTCTGTTTGTTTTGTTCTATCGACGAAGCATCGAGGACCACGTTTTTTTGTCAAAAACTGCAAAATATGTTTGAATTAGTAAAGACGAATGTCAATAATATTGAGAACTTGTTATATCTGCTGAGTCGCCAATCTGTTGTATCTGGCTGCTGTCCTTGCTCCCGTACCTAGTGACGGAAAAAGAATCACTGATAAGGAACAAAACAGTTTTATTGAGAACAGGCGATTGCGAGAGCGTGGATGCAGAAATACAACGGCCTCAAGCTATCTTATTGGAGGGACACTGTCTGACCTGGGTCCAATGCTGCCTCGCACTGTCTGGCTTCCACACACGGTTGTCACGTGCTGCATATTGCGGGGTCGTCGTCTGTCTGGCCCTCATCTAGCGGAGTTGGGGGTCTCACTAGGTTTCGAGCATTCAGTGAGTACTTTCAGGGCTCTGACCTTCCTGGTGGAAATGAATGTAAACTCAACGAGGACGGAGTGAAGTCGTAAAAACCCAAGCAGTAAGAAGGTAGAACACATGAGAAATCAGCCGACGGAGTGTTGACATATCTTCTTACTCACAGGGTTACTGAACATTCTCAGGTAGCTGGCTGCACTCTTTTTGTGGCTCACCAAGTGGAAGAGGCCGCGAGTTTCCCAGACACTATGATTTACCTGAAATACCAAGTCGTGGGGAATCGGACAGGCAGGCCCACTCGCAAATTACATTGATGTTCATGAGATACTCGAATGAGTCTCCCGTTTATAATGTTCTTCAATGGATTGTGCTGCGCAGAGTGTCTGAAATATCGAATTATGCTTTTTTGACATAACACATGGGCTATGATACATTCCAAGGACAGGATAAACCTGTCTTACCCTGTCAGTTTTCGCGTACTGGATGGGCCTCAAGAAGGGCGAAAGTGTTCATAGACTGTCCAAGAGTTTTCAGCAGCCTTGTGAGTAGTATTTTCTGCCAGGAAAATATACTACGATTTCTAGAAGATCACAGTGGCTGAAACATGGGTCGTACTTTGTGCAATACACACTCAGTCGAATAGAATCACAAACGAGTGTTTGAATGGAGAGTTTGACTTGAAGGAAGTTTGAATTGAAGGAATGAGATAAACAAAAGGATGGGTTGGGGAGTGAGTTAGAGAAGAATAGTCCCAAATCAAGTTGGGTAGACCCGACGTGGTGATGGTCAGACAGAACAAGAAATGCGGCAAAGAAACGATTGTTCCGTGAAGCTCGAACACCAACCAGGGAGGAGACACAATTATACCATGTCTCTGTGGATCCGAAACTTGTTGATAGAGGGAAAAGGGGAGGAGAAGAACGTTATAAACCTGTATACTGGTGCAAAAACGATGAAAAATGAATAGAATCCATGTTGTGTGATGAAGGGATGATAAACACACAACCAGTAAACTACCAGTGTAACGGTGATACTACTGATGGGTGGGCACGCGAGTAGTATATGTTGGTCGTAGAATTTCGCTTTGTGTCTATTGAAAAAGGGAGATCTGTTGCGGAATTCGTGGAGCCACTTTGTAACATTTGCTTGGATTTGACCGACGAATGAGTGGAGTCAATAAATCTCCAGAAAAGTTCAAGAAGAAGATGGAGAAGATGGATGTCCAGTTTTTGTAAATAAGATGCAAATTAGAGTTTTGCCTCCATGTCCAACGGTCTGTAACCGGTCAGTTGGCATTTCCCGATTAAATAACCGGTTACAGACCATTGAACAGGGAAGCAAAACTCTAATCTGCATCTTAGTTACAAAAACTGGACACCGATCTTCTCCCGAATGAGTCTTCTTGAACTTTCCTGGAGATTCATTGACTCCAATTATTCGTCGGTCAAATCCAAGCAGATGTTACAAAGTGGCTCCACGAATTCCGCAACAGATCTGCCTTTTTCAGTAGACGCAAAGTGAAATTCTATGAACAACACATACTACTCGCGTGCCTACCCATCAGTAGTATCACCGTTACACCAGTATGACAGATACGGAGTTATCTTACGGTGGAGTAGGTAATCGTGAAAGGAAGAAGGCCTTCGCTGCCGAGTTATTTATTAGAAAAATGCCAACTGACCAGTTACAGACTATTGGACAGGAAAGCAAAACCCTCATTTGCATCTTATTTACAAAAACTAAACATCCGTCTTCTCTTCGAACGCGTCTTCCTGAACCTTCCTGGATATTCATTGACTGTTGCTCAAATCCAAGCAAATGCTACAAAGCGACTCCACAAATTCCGCAACAAATCTCCCTTTCAAGAGACGCAAAGCGAATTTACAAGAAAAAACACTACTCACGTGCCTTCCTCATCAGTAGTATAACCGTTACACCCGGAGTGAGTACCTTGTAGTAAGGCAAGAACCGACCTCCTGCAAGGGTGCAACTTTCCACTTCCTGTGCAAGACATTGCAGATGAAGACTGACGTCAGTCACTTAAAGGCGCATGGTCAACGATTCTAATTTAATTATGCTCAACCTAAATTGTTTAAATGGATATCTCATCCAGTAAGTACTGGCAATCTATACTGAAGCACTTTACATCTGTTTCATCCTCATTAGGAATCATGAGGGGGATGTGTTGATGACAGCCATAATGCAATTCAGAAGGTATATGCACTAATAAAAGTTTCTACTACAGTTGACGATGGTGGGTTGCAACACGTATAAAATAAATACAATGCAACATGGGAGCAAGTCAAAAGAGGAACTTATCGTCTGTGAGGGTTCCTTGGTGAAAGTCCGCGCGGCGAGAAAGTGTTTTCTCCGCAGTATGGGTGCTCCACGTGTTCCATAATTGTCCGTGGAGATCGATTGACCTCCTGCTCCCTGCGCGCGCGCGCCAGTCTGTGTTTGCTGACTGTGTTCGATTTCCCTATATGTGGGTCCGTTTGCGTGTACGTGGGTGTGTCAGCTACGCTCACTAGACGGTAAAAACAATCGATTTCCGATGAGTCACCTTTGTATGACGTGGTTTGTGGGTATGAAAAAGACAAGTCCCGTGATTCAGTGGGGGCTGCGAGCTGAGGAGTCAAGTATGTGGGTGACTAGGTAGCTACAGGTTCTCAAGAAACCAGTTTATAACCCATGACTTCTCGGCTGGTAGTAGCCGTTCGGCAACAAGCCGCACCCTGAAGTTTCCTGAGATATACACTACTATCTGG